TTTTTCCTTAAAAGCGTTCAGTTCTAAATGCATAGATTGAATGCAACTTTCCTAAATTGGTATAATTAATATGTACTTATTCAAGCACACTCCAAGCTTCTATAGTTTCTTTTATTTGCCCTTAATTTGGGTGAATTAAAGTTGGTGAATTCTCCTACCAATCAGAACTCGGGGTTAACTTGCCCTGCTCCGATGCTCCCAATTGATTGGTGGGTTTGTGTTAGTGGGCGGGACCAAGGCGACAACAAGGAAGTGAAACTGCTAATGATAGAAAGATGTTCAGTCGTTGAGTCCCGTTAACTTTTCACCGTTTTGACCTCGGAGCGATCAGAAAGTACCGTTTGTTGGACCAACGACACCCGACACGGAGTCGAAAATGCAGACTGTACGAAAACGTCGAGGCAACGATTCACAGACGAATAGGTTGGTACACTTAGCATCAAGCTAACGCTGCTGTTAACTTCTTATCCGCTGCTTTGTTGACAAGAAAGCAGAGCAGAGTTCACAAACTACAGGAAGAGAACAGTATAAAGAAATTAACTTATTTGAAACCCCATGACACCAGTGAACTACAGTTGTGCCGCTTGTTCACCTGCATGTCATGTGTCCAGAAGCAAACACTGGAGGCGGAGCGACTGTATACTAAGCTAACGGTTTGACGAACGAATCAAAGCGAATAACAGATAAAAGTGCTGTTAAAGTTTGTAGTGAAGTCTTGTTGCTGTTTGTAGCAACTAATAGATAGTGACAGAGCGTAAAAGCGCTGCAGTGGATAGATGAGATGCTGCTGGCTGTTATATTTACCTTCCTCTTGTCTGCATGCTTCCTGTCACGTTTTGTCACATGACTGAATCAGCAATAAATGTCCTGCTGGTCTTGGAGCTGCATTCCTGAGCTGGAAATGAATGGTCAAGCTTCTTCCCTAAACTTGATTAAACTCCTTAAAGCTCATCTCTGGGTTTCAAAGTTTCATAAAACTGCTTAAATTCACCTCCACACCATTGCTTTTTCCAGAAGGTGCAGATTTATGGCCCAGTCCCAGGCTCCACCATAAACACTAATCAGGTCAATTCAAATCAAATTTAATCTTGAAGCACAACAGGTGTCGATCTAAAATGCTGTGCAAGTAAGTAGCAACCCCATGAGACATCATCACAATGACAAGAAGACAAATCGGAATAAAAACACAATAAAATAAAGAAAAGTGAAAGATGAAGTGAGTACGAAAGACCCTGTTGCATTTTTGTGTCTCAAACTTGAACCATTCAGGAGCATCTGGTTGGTTGACCTCAGTGCTCTCACTAGGGTATGAAAATGTAAGAGTTGTGATGAGTTAGGTGGTACCAACCCATTTAAAATGTAAAGAAATGAACAATAAAATCTTCAAATCAATCCTGAAATGGACAGGGAGCCCGTGATGGGAGACCAGTACTGGTGTTACATGATGTAGACATAGATCTGTTGGAGAAGTGGGATGAGGGTTTATAGCTGTACCACTGTCAGATGTGGACGTTTCAATGCCCATATGAGAACTCTCTGTCTGCAGACTTTCATGAGAGACTTGCCTATAGTTTCTAGAAAGATTGGTGAAGTATAGACGTGGTTGTTCTGCCTCCTACAAGATATACACAAACACAACATGGATGATGTAAAGAAGAAATCTGCAGAGAAGTTTGTCACTGACAACATGCTTTGCTGTTGTGATTATTTATTGCACATTTGTAGAGTTCTTTGTATTGTCAGGCACATTTCCACGTAGAATTTACAGATGTTCATGGCTTTCTTGACTTTTGGTATTTTGTTAAAAAATATAAATAGTAACTTCACAAATAGGTAATGATCAACCGAGCAACTGCGAATGAAACAAGGTCCAAAATCCTCTTTATTTTCTTGAATATGGCAGTGCATTGTTTCCAAACGTGTACAGTCACGATAAGTTAAATGTGATAATTCCCAGCCAGGATGTCGACACCATTCTTTGCTCTTTTTGTGTCTTCTAGGATATAAAAAACATTCCATAGACATGTTAACAAAGTAAAAAAAACTTGATTTTCTGTAGAGGGGCCCTTTAAGGACAGCCCATTTCTGACTATGAACTAAAACAATCCTGGACAACAATAAAGCAAGAAAATATATATGAGTGAACAAGACTTTGACCAAACAAGATGCTAAAAAATTGAAGAAACTACTTTGAAAGTATAAATGCTAGCTGTCAAATTTGTAAATACCCCCTCAGCCAGCCACAGGAAGCACAGCACAATTCATCCAGTAACCACGAACACTGAACCCGCAAGAGTGAAATACATAATAATTAGCCCAAAAGTCACAAAACAGCTACAATATAAAGAACCTATACAGATAATGCCCCCCAGAATGGCACTTGGCAAGTAAATACGAGATGTCTGTCAATGCACACAAAATATTACGGTTGCTTGCTGCAGAAACTTCATGACGCATCTTTCCTCCCGTAATTGCTGTCTAGGTATCTGAGTGACAGGAGAAAAGGTTTCAGGCAGACATGGAGGCTGACAGCTCTATATCCGTTTTTATGGTGCTGACAAGCAGCCAAACAGGCAGGAATGAAGGGCTTGCACTGTATTCAGCTGCGCTCGTCCTTTTGTTGTCCCGGTGCACAAGCTGAACCGCGGGGACTGTGTTCAGTGTGCTGCAGGAAATTACACAGCTGCACACAATATACAATAAGTTGAATAGTTCAGCAAATCCATGACTGGTGCATCATCATCTGTGGTTTCATAGAGCGCAGGATGCTGGAAGAAAACAAACCCCAAGAAAACACATTTGTTAAATGGCGAATATACAGTTATTATGTAGATGCTATTTATATCGTATATTGTGCAATTCTTTCCCCTCCCTCTTTTACATATGTGTGCAAATGCTTGAACGTAAGGTGCTTTGTCATCTTGCATATGAAGGTGATGACCTAGGAATTAACATTGTAATAAGAACGATTAGGTGGATCGGTGGTTAGCACTGTAGCCTCACAGCAAGAAGGTTGCTGGTTCGCATCCCGGTGAGAGATCTTTCTGCGTGGAGTTTGCATGTTCTCCCCGTGCAGCGTGGGTTCTCTCACACAAAAACATGTTGCGGCTAATTGGTGATTCTAAATTGTCCGTAGGTGTGAATGTGAGTGTGCTTGGTTGTCTGTCTCCAAGTGTAGCCCTGTGATAGACTGGTGACCTGTCCAGGGTGTCTCCTGCCTTCATCCTGAGTCAGCTGGGACAGGCTCCAGCCCCCCGTGACCCTTGGAGGATTAAGCGATGTATAGGTAATGGATGGATGGATAAAATCGATTAGTAAAGAGCAGCAAATGCAGCCTTTTGCTTTAACCTGAATTTACTGCGGGAGTAAATGCGGTAGTAAACCTCGCTTTAATGCTGTCCTTCCAACGTGTCGGTTAAATGCTGAGCCTCTGTGCTGCACTTTGCTTTGGTCAACCTGCCTTGTTGCAATGACTCACAGTCCCTGCAAATGTGGGTTTACAGCACTCCTGGTGTTCTGAAGGAAAATGTGCAACAGAAGAAAAGGCAGCACTTCCACTTCGACCTGTGGCTCTGTCTGACTCTGCAGAACTGGATACTAGACTTTGGAAGGCCTATCGTTATGGTAAGGAGGCTCAGTGCACTTAATGTGGTTTTTAGTTAATGCAAAGAGCTGCAGACTCAATCATGCAGCAGTGTCAACTACATGTGTCTGTATTAGATCATCCTTCCTCTGGAGTGGTTTCCCCTGAACAAGCCCAGTGCTGGAGACTATTTCCACATGGCCTACAATGTCATAACACCATTCCTAATGCTCAAGGTAAGTCTCAACACAACAAATTGTCATTGATCATAACATAAGCTCTTTGTATGTATCCTACTGAGGCTTTTGTGCTTGAAAGAAAGTGGACACTGATAGATATGGAGTGTTTTAGTGACACCAGCCTTGCTCAGTGTTAAATAATCTTTCACATCAGGCAAATCTGTGGTGAAGTTCTGTTGCTTTTCTAACAGAAGCCTCGACATGCTTTTCATTGTTTTAAGAATTTATTGCTTATATTTCATTCCCTATATTCACTGAGATGATCAAGTCATAATAATAGAACAAATCTCAGTCATCTAGTTGCTTGTTCTTCAGATCTCACTTCACACGTTGTCACTTCTGAACATACATTTGACTTTTTGGACATTTTAAGGCCTTGATCACCTTTTTTTCTGTACTATTCATGTCTATTTAAATTCAGTCATGGTTGTGTGTTTTTATGATGTATATCTTATTCTTTTTGTTTCTGTAAGCAACTAAGTCACTTTGATGATAGGGCTGCAATTTATGTATATTTTTTATTGCTGATCTATTTGTGATTTTTTTGATGAATCGATTCGTTTTTTGGTCTATAAAATGTCAGAAAATGGCAAAAAAAATAAAAAAATTGTTAATCAGTGTTTTCCAAAGCTAAAGGTGATGTTTTGTCACGTAATCACATAAAGATATTCAGTTCAATGTGAAAGAAACCAGAAAACATCAACACCAAAGAGCTGGAATCAGAAAACATAATTGATTATCAAAACAGTTGCAGATTATTTTTATAGTTGACGACCAGCTGATTATTCAGTTAATCGTTGCAGCTTTAGTGGATGACCAACAGTCTTCTCTCCGTCCTGTAATTATAAAATCTGTATTTTTAATGTGTGTTTGACCTTAACATGGCTGTCACATTTAGATTTTGTGTTAGTTTCAAGAATCCAAATTGCTTCATTTAAAGTTGTTGTATATCGTTTTCGTGTGACAGATTTTTCTTAAGTTGAACTGACATTACAGACAGAGTAATACAGGAGAGTCGTACCTGCAGGTTGGTTAGTTTCTGCCACAACACCACGAAAACCTGAGGTCTGATCTCTGAGTGTCTGCATGAACAAGAACAGCAGAAAACAGAGAAATGAGTAGAAAACTGTGTAAAATACCTGAAATAGAGCAAAGTACCTGCTTTGCCTTTAAGGTAGATGTCATGTATGAGTTTGTATTATTACCCAAAAACAAGAGAATACCTCAGCAGCCACATAGTGACGGCATATATCCGGTTCCTGTTTGACTCTAGCAGTAGACCTGCTTTACTTGTCTCTTGCCTTGACTGTCCAACAGAGCCAAAAATGCCTAAAAAATAAAGCAAAACAAGCTAATTAGTGTGTATTATCCATAACTTCTGACAAAGGTTTCTTTGGAATGAAGGAAGATCATGGTGACGCCTCTGGACCCGAATAGATAAAGCCAGAATGGCACCTGTAGAGAGTCAACAGAGAAATCAAGTGTACAAACATCACAATACCTTGAAGGCTGTTTGACTTGAAGGAACAAGGCGTAGAGATCCTGCTGCTCCGATTCCTGAAGATGTAATCAAATAATGAAAACGTCTCCCGCTCCAGTTATTGATAGATTCATTTCTGGGTATCAAAAATATCTATTTAGACTTTTTTCGTTATTTTTCTATTCCTTTTAGTGTCTTAGATGTACCTCTACCCCTGTGCTCCCTCTCTCTCGGCTCACATGCTGCATAACTAGATTTTCATCTTCTATATAAATAATATGTGTTACCGCTCCACTCAGCTCATTGAACGGAGTCCCACGGCGCTGTCTCGCACCGCCGTCTACCTCTGCATTATCACTTTCGTCATGGGAGCCAGCATCCACCTGGTTGGAGACTCCATCAACCACCGGCTCATCCTGAGCGGCTACCAGCTCCACCTGTCAGTCAGAGAGAACCCCATCATCAAAGACCTGAAACCTGCTTCTCTGGTAGGACTGCTGGTCTATCCTGGGAATACACTGAGAAGATTGTCAGATGTTTGATTGTCAGGTTCCCATGTTGGTATTTGCTCTGTGGAACACGTCAGCGCTAATAGAGTCTATCAATACACTCGAATTATCACCTGTCAAAGCGTCAAACAACAAAAACCTGTTGGTGTTACTTGTCGCAGCTCTTCAGAGGCAGTTCAGCGACTTTAAAAGAATAAGCTTTTCCTCTGCGCCCATGACAGGCACTGACAACGCAGCACACACAACACACCTGTATTGTTGCAGCTGTTTGATTGAGCAGACTTTATTCTGCAGTGTAGGAGTGGAGCTCATTCTTCTGTCTGCTCCTTTCATTGCTATCGCACCTTTTTTTTTATTTGTCACCTAAAAGTAGATCATACATTTGACGGATGCAGTTGTCAGCATGATATTTAGGTGATGTACAACGCACCAGGTGCAGGACAAAAGGAAGACAATAACAATATACAGTCGTCCTCGGATGTATTCATACCCTTCTATTAAAGAAAAGGCAGAATTCACAATAGTCACTCAAATAACTAGAAACTGAAATAAGTAATAATAAATTAAAATTTGCTAAATTATAATTTAGTGAAATAAGACATTGCTTTTGAATTGTGGTTGAAATGAATAATTAAAAAAAACAAACAAAACTGTGCTGGACAAATTAGAGCTGATGAGCAGTGGACCAAAATCCAAATAGCTGTCAACAGGTAAAGAAGTCTGATTGAGAGTTACAGAAAACACTTGATTGCAGTGACTGGCTCAAAGGGTTGTTAACAAAATATTAGTTTACGGGTCCCATCATGCTTGTTTTTTGTTTCTTTGTTTTATTTATGTTTTTATGTTTCTGTTGATCCACAATTCAAAAGCAATGTCATGATTTTTGTTACATTTTTATTTATTATTACTTGCTGTTTTTTTGCTTCTTTAATGGGAGGGTATGAATACATTTGAGGACGACTGTAGATTTTGAAATCTCAATATTTCTTTCTGCTGCTTCCTGTTCAGTAAAGCAACCATTACTTTAATTACACACACAAAGCAAGTAGCTTAACCAGATAAATTACCCTTAAAGCAACATTTAACTCCTTACCATTCCCTTGGATAGCGATTGTCATGTCTTGAGTGCATTTAAAGTAGATGTTACATAAGAAAGCTGTCTAGGGACACACGCTGCTGAAGAGATATTTTAGTCTTTGTTCAGAGCGTTTTGACTGACAGCTGAGTGACAGTGCAGGTGTGAGAGAGAACACAGATTTTGGTGTTAACTGCATACCCTGTGTTCGAACTTTTATTTTATCCTCATGTTATCCCGACAAGCAAACTTCTGATGGTCGAAGATGTAAAACAGCCTTATTTAGACTGAGTTTAGGTTCAGTCAGACTTTGTATCGAATTGATTTTGATCCGAGGTTGCACAGCTACAGGAAATAATCTTTTCGTCGCACCACACAGCTGGGGCTGTGTGTTTGTTATGCAAGTGCACACATCAGAAAAGTTCTGATTATACTATCAGACCAGGGGTAGCAGATATCACGCTGTGTGTTGTCTGGGTTCCTCCTAATCCTCCTAATCCAGAGGACGACGTGAGGCTTCAGAAAACATGGTACGGCAACAAGACGATGATAATCAAGTCACTGAAACCCACGTGAAACCTAAGACGCCCTCACAGTTGGTTTAGGATCTATTACGTGTCATTTCATAATCTCTTGCAAACACGTGTTGAATCACTAGTTGCATAAGGAATAATAGCATCCTATTGTGTCTCATTGTGGGTGTAATACACTCATTAGAGTGCAGTTAGAGATGCCAAGGTCGCATACGAACTCTGTTTTCATAATCAAAACATCTGAAGTATAAGTTAAGGTGAATGCACAATAAATGCAGCTCTCACCTGAGAAAAGTTTGAAGATTTACCTCAAAAAATCAAAAGTACTTTAGTTATATACTACTTTTATTGTAAATTACTATGTTTGAGTTCTGAAAATTCAAACTAGGGCTTCAAGGTGGCTCAGTGGTTAGCATCATTGCTGATTCGCATCACGGTGAGGACACCCGGGATCTTTCTGTGTGGAGTTTGCATGTTCTCCCCGTGCAGTGTGGGTTCTCTCCGGGTTCTCCGGCTTCCTCCCACAAGGTCCAAAAACATGTTGAGGTTAATTGGTGATTCTAAATTGTCCGTAGGTGTGAATGTGAGTGTGCTTGGTTGTCTGTCTCTAAGTGTAGTCCTGTGATAGACTGGTGACCTGTCCAGGGTGTCCCCTGCCTTCACCCTGAGTCAGCTGGGATAGACTCCAGCCCCCCGCAACCCCAGTGAGGACTAAGTGGTGTAAAGATAGTGGATGGATGGAAATTAGTAGTTTTTGAGAGTAAAATTTAAGGCCAATTTGTTACTGAAGCTTTAAAGGTCTACGGTGTGTGCACTTATAGTATTTACTGATTTCATACATACTGATGCAGGTGTAGAAGCAATTTGTCTTTTTCAGCTAATAGTACAATTACGAATGCATAAGTGGTGTTTTAGTAGTTTTATATTATCACACAGCTACCTTTTCATGAAGAAAGAAATAGAAAAATCTAAATTTATAGATTAAATACTTTTTCAAAAAAGATGCTGAACAGCTAAATGTGCACAAAGTCAGGAGGGTGAGTGCCTAAATGTTTTGACTGAAATGTTTTAGGCACGGGGAAATTAACCTGATATCATAGCAACTGATCAATACATTCTGCATGGATGATACTGGTGTGGTGTTTAACAATATATATAGGTGTCAAATTAAAAGGGAACACGAATACAGAGTGTATTCAAGTGCCTTGAAGATGTTAAATATCCCCACATTGCTGTTTTTATGATGGTACAGGTGAGCGTTTGTTAAAATCTGGCCACTTAAATCAATTTCCATTTCAAACAAACCATATTCTAACCCTTTGTGCCCTTTCTGGCATTGGTTATGCTTTTCCACTCAGTACTTCAGATTTGACTCCGGTCTTTAGATGGAATTTCTGAGAAATTGTTACGATAAAGTGTTTGTGGTAGTAGAACAGTAGGTGGCACTGTTGCCTAAGGCTGTGTCTGCAGAATGAATTGAAACACTGTTGTAATGAGTTTCTAGTAACGAGCCTTCTGGTCCTTTCTTTTGCAGATCGACTCCTTTGAGCTGCTGTATTATTATGACGAACAGCTGGGACACCTAATGTGGTATGTGTTTGTGATATTTACACGTGTTGTGTGCACGTAGAGTGCTGAGAAATAACAGCAGAATGCAGGTTCAAGTGCTTTGCTACCAACCAGAGTTTGTTCATCATTTCTAGTTTAAATCATAAGGTTATTTATTTTTTATTGAAGTTTTAAATGAAAGAGCATTTTCAGAAGTGCAGACAGTTATCAGTGAGCTCGATTCTGTGGCCATTTTCTGTCTTTTCTAAATCGATTTTAGAACGAGCAGGTCTGTGGTGACAGTTTACACCAGCTGAGTGCTGACTGGAAAATAAATCAGATTTGTTGTTTAGAAAAATCAAAAGACGATGGAATGGGTTTTCATGATGAGCAGGAAGATGGAAATGTATATCTCCCTCCTGGCTGCTGTTTTATGTGCACAGGCCTGTAGTTTTATGGCAGTCTGCTCGTCACGCCCCGGCATTGTGCCTTCACGGTGATAGAATATCAGTTCGCATTGGACGATCCTGCTGTGGTGTGTGGGCGTGGTTTGAGTACTGTATCTCTGGACAGAGTTAAGACTGAGTGGGAAAAACAAACTGCTGCTGAGAGAATAGACTGTATGATAGTTGCCGTTTTGCCCTCTAACACATGGGTGCTCTCAGAAATTGCCGATACAGTGACTCTACCTGAAATGAACAGCACTGAAGACTCACACCATTAAACTCAGCTTTAACTATCAACTCGTCAATAAAGGTTTTAAAAAAAGCCAAGCAAAATAGTAGTTTTGTAAAACTTCATATCAGAATTACACAATTACAGATGTACAGACGCGTTTTAGTCCTTTGTTGGTTGGCAACAGTCGAGCAATGACAGGAAATAAAGGGAAAGAGATCAGAAAGCAACAAATGGTCAGATGTGAGACAATTTCTAAATTAACCTCCATATTTTTCATTTATTTATACAATTACATACATTTATAAAGGTTCCTTGAGTTAGTTTTTTTTGTTAAATCTAAAGAAAATGAAACCTGGTGCATGTACAACAGAGGTAAGTTGAGAGTATTTGCTCATGATCAATCAAAAGCAACATACTTCAAAAAGACTAATTAAAACAAAATATACTGACTCCAAAGTCAAAACTCAACTAAAGTCAATGCACCTGTTTTCACTCGCACACAAGTTAGAAATCCCACAATTAGTGAAGCATTGTTAAGTCCGCCTAATTGTCTGAGCCCGGTTATAAAATGGCCTGTGTACAGTGAACACCAGAACTTCCTCAGCTTGGGACCTATAGGCTGTTTATCTGCATCATGGCTCCACGTGAATCAGAACTGGATATTGAAAATCTGATTGTGACACTTGACAAACATGGAAAATGATACAGGAAGATCCGTGAGCAACTGAAAATCAGTGAAAACACGGTTGCAACGTTGATCAGGAGGTGTAGAATGAACCGTACACCCGCTAATCAGAGCTGCAGTGATTGTCCGAAAATGACAGTGCTTTACTTCTCGCAATCTAGCTCTGAAAAATAGACGCACAAGTGCTTCAGACTTGGCACAGGGGTTGTCACTGGAAATCAATGTTTCTGTGACAGCTCAGACTGCTTTGTGAGGAGAGTAGCGTGACGTCAGCCTCTATGGACAGCGCCCAAGACAGAAAACGTGTCTTGAACTCAGGCACAAAATTGCAAGATGAAACTTTGCTGAATAACATGAGACCACAAAGAGGCCTGATGAATTCTGGGAGCACAGTCTTTAGTCAGATACGTTTGTTTTACTCAGATGGGGTCCAGCATGTTTGCCATGAACCTGTACAGGACTGTCAGAGTGAATGCACAGTCCTGACAGTGAAGCACGGAGGTGGGAGTGTGACGATATAGAGCTGCATGAGAGCAAAAGGTATACAACATTTATCGCTGGCAACATGGCTGCCTGTGGATATAGTAAAATACTGACCGACAAGGTGACTCTCAGTATGCAGAAGAGGAATATTCCTGTATAAAAAGCACGCCGCCAAAATCGTTTTTATAGAAGTGAAAACTATAACGTGGCCAAGTATGCTGCCTGACTTCTATCCAACAGAACACATTTGAGGGATTTTGTGTTACAGTTTAGAGTCATTTGACATTTAAGTGACGTTGGATGTACTCACTTTGCTGTATACTGTATATATATATATGTTTCATAATGACAGCCCTGGTACTAAACTACTTCATGCATATTCCTTGCATTTCTTGAACTGCTGTTGTGACTTACAAACACTGTGATACTGATGTGTTTGAGAGTGTTTGAGAAGCTCAGATCACTCAGAGATCAGTCGCTGTAAAGGATGCTGGTATTAAAACAGCAACTGTGTGTGCATCAAGCAGGGACTAACTCTGAGTCACTGAGGTGATTGATGTACACGCTGAATTTGTTTGACAAGTCTTAATGGATAGCATTTAGTGGACCAAATAAGGTCTGGGCTTAACTCACCAGAGTGTGGGATTCTGTTGTCAGCATGCTCCTGGAGGTTCTGTAGACAGATGATACACAATCAGAATCTGCAGAGCCTTATTACCTCCGACAAGTCCATTATTTCCTAAATCGGGACATCCAACATTGAAAATAGTCTACTTTTCAATCTTAGATATCATTGAGATTCAGATTTTATTTTGAGGAGAGGGCTGAGAACAGGAAGACATTCTTAATCAGACAAATGTATAATCAGCAAATCCAATTAACACAATTAGGGACCATACATCAATAACAATACAAGTTTCTTTAAAGAATATGTGCATCAAAAAAATTCATTTTTTTCCAGGTAGTGTAAAGGACTCAAGTTTCATCGCATTTGAAAGCTGCATCGTACCGAAAACCTGTAAGATTTATAAGAACATAAGTGATACTGAAGGTTTATTAAATATTGTTTTCTCTTGTCTACAGGAGAATCCACCTGACTTTGTTGTCTAAAGAGGAGAATAAAGCACTGTGTCAGAACAGGTTTAGAAAGTGTTTTTTAATACCACATGAACTTACATAAGAAAGAAGAGACAGGCTTTGTTTCACTTGCTATCATGTTTTAAAGGTTGTTTGTTTTTTTTTTAAATTCCAAGTTTAATTCATGGTTTGTTTGTTTGTTCTTTGAAAGTACAACTAAAATGCTCCCTGCAGCCTGATATACTGCTTAAGAATTTAATTATTCTTCTTGCAGATGCTCACTTTGAGAAACACAAAAGAAATGTTTAATTTTCTCAGTCGGCTTTGACCTGCTGGATTTTTCTAGGTTTAGGGATTGTGCTGCAGCCTCTAACATTACGGGGAAACAAAGCTTTTCTTTAGAATTTTGAGGGAATGTTTTGGTGGAATTCCGTAGAAAACACATGCTGCAACTCTTGGAAACACTAAGCATCCTCCATTTTACAAAGAAATACTTCACTCTAATGGGGATCCAGTACAGTTTTTAAGCCTGCCTCTTGTTTTTTTTTATTTTAGGTATATTCCCTTCTTCATCATTCTGTTCATCTACTTCAGTGGCTGCTTCTCCCCTGCTAAAGAACAAAAGAAGATTCCCGTCTCTGGTTGGCTGTTGCTGGGACCCAGCGCTCTCTACTATTGGTCAGTGTTCTGACGTTGAGAATCTGTTGTACATAACCGCCATGAGCGCATGTTAAAGAAAATACAATAGAGACATGTTCTCCATGGATACATTACTTTTTTTGTGTGTTTTGTTCAAAGAAAAAAGATGATATGGCAAGTGGATCAACCTTTTAAAGAAGCTAAACCGTATGAATGGGTCTATGAAAGTCCAATAAGAGTATTTAGAAAAGATGAAATGCTTTTTCTTCCATTACATAACTAGTTTCATAATCCAAAGGCAGGAAATGGAGGTCCGTATGCGACGCAACAGCAGCAAAACGCAGTGAGATGAAGAAAAGAGGGAATGAATGATGGCTTTGGAATGAAAAGAATGAAAACTGATCAGAGACATGAAGAGATAATGAAAGAAAATGCAGCAATGCACTGAGAAACTACACATGGGTGACAAAAGAAAACAAAAACTGCCAGAACAGCTTCAGTGCACATTGGTATTGGTTCTCCAAATCTCTGGAACTCCACTGGACGGATGAAACAACGTTCTTCCAAAAGATTTCATTTACTGTTTTGATGATGGAGAGCGCTGCCTAAAACTGGGCTCAGGAGTTGATCTGTATCACATTTATCCCTTTTTCACTCCTATAAATGGAGAAACCTGATCTGGGATGTTGGTTTGAACCACCAGCTCACTGAAGGGGTCAAACAGTCAAGCTTGTCCTTTAATTTGTCACCCATCTGTATAGGCGTGAATCTAAAGGAGTAACTGTGTAGTTTCATCAGCATCCGGTAAATTAAACAGTCTAATGCTTGAGTGAAGGAGGAGGTTCATTCACACATAAAAACACTAAAACATTAATGAAAGAAGCAAAGCTGTACGACTACCTGGCTTTACTACTAAACTATTAACAGTCGAATCTAAAGCCAGAAAACATTCACCAGCATTATTCTGTATTTACTATATATTTGGTGAAGTTGATCGCTATTCCACTTGTCCTGCTCTGCAGTCCAAGCCAGCTGGACTTTTTTTTTTTTTTTAAGGTAAACTTTTTGGGGGGTTATTAAAATGCAAGTTGTTTCTGTCTGACTAACAATGAAGCTTTTCCTTCTTTTGTTAGATGATTGACAGAAAGCAGACTCTAATGGGTGCACTGGTAAAAAGAAAATCTTGGGGTCACTTGCATAAAGAGAAAAAGAAATTTAGATAAAAACCAATTTAAAGCAATTGAAAACAAAAATGAAAGGCATTCTTTTGTCGGGAGGAAAATGAACTCTGACATTTCCATAAAATTTCAGCTGAGGAGAGATGATGATTACCACAGATATAAAAGTATGCTTTTTCGGAAAAGCAGTAACTTTTCTAGCTGCTTGAGGTACAACTGCTAATGTAGTAAATGAAGCAAACAGGTGAACTGGAACGCAGTAATAGTTTCAGTAACAGGAAGTGTTGCATTTAAAGTACAGGAATTGGTTGCTCATTGAACGTTTCTGACTGAGCTCCTGACGTCTCCTGTGTTTCCTTTCATGTCTTCAAGGTACTTGGTCACCGAAGGACAAATCACTGAACTTTTCCTCTTCACCTTCCTCGCCATGGTTGCCATGGTGATATATCAGCAACGTAAAGGCCTCGGCCCCGACAGTAACGGCCAGTTCCTGTTCTACAGTTTCAGTGTCACGGTGCTCCTAGTGGCTGTGTGGGTGGCCTATCTGTGGAGCGACCCGGTGCTACGCAACAAGTACCCCGGACTCATTTATGTGCCAGAACCCTGGTCCTACTACACGCTACACATCAAGAAGAGCCACTGAACGCCCTGCCAAGGTCCTCTCTGTTCTGTTTTTCTCTGTTGTACTTTCTCACAAAGCAGATTTCCTGCAGCTAAGACGGTGGCTGCACTCTGACAACAACAGAGATCAATGAAACTTGTTGATGCAGTTAAACTCAAGGATCTGCCGGCTTCAGAGGGAAATGTGTCTTCTCTTTGTGTTTCTATATTGATGATGGCCTTCTTTGAGTTTGATTTTGCACTTGCAGTCAGATTTTTCAAAAAATGTTTTTGGATCTTATGACATGAGATCTAAGACTATGAGAGATTCCATAAAGGACACCAGCACTGTAGATAATGTTCATACTTATGACAATCAGGAATGAGTGAGCCTCCTCACCGCTCATATTTAACACTTTTAAATCAACGTACGAGGTGTCAGAAAAGTTCCAGGACTGGTGTCACAAAAGATATAATTATATATTTACCTATACATGTCATACAGTATACTATACTTATATATATTTATACTACAGACTACAAGTTTTACCCCTTCAGACGATCAACCAGTACGTCTACACAGAGATCCTGCAGCGTTTGCTTTGTTCAGTGTGCCAGAAGAGGCCAGAGTTGTGTCAGGACAAGTTGTGGCTGCTTCATCATGACAACACGCCTGCTCACAACGCCCTGAGCATCCCACGGTTCCTGGCTGAGAAGAACATCACCGTGCTGGAGCAACCTCCCTACTCACCCCACCTGGCTCTGTGGGATTTTTTCCCCAAGGGAGTCATCAAGGGAATCCGTTTTGAAGACCTGGACAACATCAAGATGGCTGTGATGACGGAGCTGTAGAGGATCCTGGAAGAATCCTTCCAGGAGTGCATGGCGGCGTGGCAGGGAAGGCTGGGGAAGTGTGTTAGAGTCCAGGGGGATTACTTGGAACGGGAGAACTTGTCGTTTGTAGTTTGAAATGTATCTTTTGTGACACCAGTGCTGAAACTTTTCTGACACACCTCATAAAGCTAAACATGTTGAAGATGTTTATTTTCATTGAAGGTAAAACCAGGACTGGGATTGACCCACTGAAGGAAAAAGTGGTTCAATATTTAGTCTCTTTACTTGTATCCATTTTTCCCAGAAACCAAACAGTAGTGCACCACTGCTGCAGAACTGCTGGTAATGTCAGTTTGTGATCATTTAAATCAACACAAATTTGTTTGAGGTTATGCACCACATGAGCATGACGTCAGCGGACATTTTAAATGTATTAAAGTCCCTTCCTGGTTGTTGACTTAACCTCTAAAGCGTCATTTCTGTGTAACAAAATGACATATGCTGTAAAATGACCAAGATGTAAATTCTACACTGTTCCTTCTTAAGAACGTGCAGATATCTACAGTTTTTTGCAGCTGCTCAAACACTGTAACTATTCTATGCTTTACAATGGCAAGGTGTATTATTGGAGGAGTGTCGTACATGCTCAACCTGGAAACCAATTCTGAAGAAGAGTAGTGCTACAGAAAGCCCCACCCTGCACATCAACAGGATTGGTTCTTTAGGTTTGTTACTAATGAAACTCCCATGTCAGAATCTGTGTTTCTGAGATTGGTTCATTGAGATTTTAATGTTGCTGACTGCCCATTTTGCTCATCGTGTCCTCTAGCATATCAACACAAACCTTGATTTTCACCAGAAAAGGTCTTTAGATATAGAAACCTTTAACAAAGGGCATGATGCTCGGATAAAAAGGCGAGGAGCGACCTTGGAGCTTGACATTGTGCTTTAGTGGTGTGTATTTAACACAGAGCAGTTTCAATGCCATCACTATTTGACAGCAATAGAGAATCCGTTTCAAAACAAGGCAAGAGAATGAAAACGCTGAACAAAGTACATCCACCCATACTGGAAGATGAGAAAGAAATCTGACCTTGAAACCTGGAAGAGTTCAGTCAGTTGTAGGCTGAACGCTGTAGCGTCGACCTTTTAAAAACTCCGAAGAAACAAAGCGTTGCAGCCGCTTCTCTCTGGCTTTCAGGAAAGAAGAGAAGCAGAACACGGAAACAGTTCTTGAATGAGTACATAACTATACATACAACATAGAAATAGATTGAAGTTACATAGCGTTTGTCAAACCAGCGCAAACTCAGTCGACAAGAAATAGCTATAAAGGGTACAAAATAACTGCTGGAAAAGCCAGTAAAAACAGTTTAGAATCAAAACTAAAAATGGGCACAGCTCTAAAAATGAAACAGCTTCTCTTTTGGCACACATTTTACCTCTCATCCAACAGGCGAAACATCTTCAGGAACCCAAAAAAAGCTTTTTCCTGAAGCTCTGAGGATCGCTGTGACCTGGAAAAATATAAAATATAATAACACAAAGCCAAAATAGTGGAATGACAAGATAATGAAATGTTAAATGTGTAAAGTTTCATGATAACTTGACCCATTAGTGTTACATTAAAAAGTGTCCATTAAATCAGGATTTAAAAATAAACTCCTGAATTCAGTTTTGATTATTTTCAAAAGGTTACATTCTCTCAGGTATTTTACATTTCATACTTTGACAGGTTTGGGTCAGATCTTTTATATTGATATCCATTTACATACAGAGGTTCTTATGTTTCAGTATGTTGTCACAGTGTTATTTATCATTTACTTAGTTGCAAGTTTTTGTACATAACGTGTGTGAAGTACATCTGTTGTACGGATGATTTAGCGTTTTCCAAAACATCAAGGAAAAGGAGATGACTGTGAAGATGCTAATAAAAAAAGTGACTTTGACTGACGAATTTATAGATTTTATTTACATGAGTGGATGTCTTTTGCCTTTTGAGTTATTGTTCTTAATGCAGAATCCTATTAATTTTTGTATAGTATTGCTCACTTTGCACTTTTCTTCATTAAATGCTGATCATCCATCCATTATCTATACACCGCTTAATCCTCACTAGGGTCTTGGGGGGGCTGGAGTCTATCCCAGCTGACGGTGAAGGCAGGGGACACCCTGGACAGGTCACCAGTCTATCACAGGGCTACACTTAGAGACAGACAACCAAGCACACTCACATTCACACCTACGGACAATTTAGAATCACCAATTAACCTCAACATGTTTTTGTGGGAGGAAGCCGGAGAACCCGGAGAGAACCCACACTGCACGGGGAGAACATGTAAACTCCACGCAGAAAGATCCCGGTGCCCTCACCCGGACGAGAACCGGCAACCTTCTTGCTGCGAGGCAACAGTGCTAACCACTGCTCCACCCTACAGCCTTAAAACTGATCTTCTACTTCTTAATTATTACTCATAATTTTCTTTGAAATTGCCTTATTTGATCCTCCTGCCTGTGCATCAAACCAACTTAAAATCTTACCATTCACATTGTTGCAGACTACCTCCTTTAACAGGTAGTAATTGCTGCCTCCCTTTTACAGGAAGTAATGGAAAGAACAAATCAGCCCCGTGGATCTGGTATCAGTGTTTCCACAGCAACGCGTATTAAATTACCTGGAAGGCGACAGGTGGTGGACTTTAAACCGAGGTATACAGGTGACTCAGCCGGCACAATACTGTCTCCTTCCTGGATAGAAACGAAGCAACTTCAGACATGGTAAGATCAAGAAATTCTTTCTTTCAAACCTTTTTGGTTGACTATTTATATAAACAGACACTTTTTGTGTACTTACCCAACAAATGAAGCCACACTGTTGTCATCTTACAGGCTAAATTCTTCACACCAGCTCAAATCAATGGTAAGAGAAGCTCATAGCACCACATGATTGCTATCCTATTTCTGTTATTTACTGATGTTTGAGGTGTTTTATTCACACACAAGGATCAAATCCAGAACCTGTTTTGTCTTATGACTTTCCCTGTAGTTATGTATTTCTAAGTTAACCTGCTATGATAAATGCTTGGTGGATAATCTAGACTTAAAATGTATTCATTAATGCTAAAATGTATGATGTTGTTTAATACTTCCTCTTTTTCCTCTGCAGAGTTCAAGGAGTGCTTCTCCTTGTATGACAAGAAGCAAAAGGGCAAGATTCAGGCCAAAGACCTGATCACAGTTATGCGCTGCCTCGGCACGAGCCCCACGTTCGGCGAAATCGAAAGACATCTACAAGTTCAAAAAATTGGTAAAGTATCAAATTAAATGAATCTAATTAGTCTGGGGGCCTGTCAAGGTTATGAAAACGTGTTCAGGATGAGAGCGGGTAAAGAAAGAGTTTCACTTAAAGTGTCTGAGTTACGCCTTGTGTCATAAAAGACGAAGGAACTGGATCTGTACGCCACACTGTCACATCACATGCTGCTGAGGAGGTGGTGTTTATATTTTAATTAGAATCTGTCTTATTGAGTTGTGGTCAAGGCCTTTATGAGGTAATTATAATTTAAAATGAAGTGAAAAATTACAATTTCAAATCTCACTTGAATAATGAAGAAGCCCAATACTTTACTTATAATATCAGATTTTCATTTGGGATTGACTGATGTGGGTTTTGTGTTTTGTTTTTGCTGATTATTGGCAATTTAAAAAAGGCCTAAAACAAATATTTAAAACTGATGTGCATTAAATGTAATGTTTTAACAGCACGTGATAGCAGAGAAGCTGTCGTTCATAATTCATTACTGAATATGTAAAATAGAACTAGGAGGGATTAAATGTTTATGTGGGATCCACTGAGATCGATCAGTTTGTCTCTATTTTCATAATATTTCACAATTCTATCACTTTCATTTCCCACTAACGTCCACATCTTAAAGAATTCTTAATGATTGTTTTCCAGACTCTGTTTCAGTGTAATTTGCCTTCTAACTTAGCCGCTAGCGTAGCATTAGCCACTGTGAGAAGCTCACTTCCTGGTTTGTGGCAACGTCTTGTGTTTTTTGTTCAGTCTCTGCTTGAGAGACATTCTGAGACGACAGAGAGGTGTCTGCAACAGACCTGAAGTAGAGCATTTAATTTATCATTAAAAATACAAATACCAGTAAGCAGGAACATGCCAAACATCAGCCACGATAATCGGTCTCATCCTACTTTTTAAAGCTTTCTCATGTAGTTTAAATCCTCGGCCTTCATAACGTGCACAATATAAAGTAATGTAGACAGGATGACTCCACACATGCACACAAAATACGTATATGTTAGAAAGAACCACAAGAAAAAACACATCTTCTGAAAACATTTTCTTTTCTTCATGACATTACCAACATGTGTGTCCTCATCATACCACCCAGTCAATGTTCCTGCATAGATTAGATTCAGTGTACACTCACACCTGATGTTTGTGCCACATTCAGAAAAGAACGGTGAGCTGGACTTCTCTACGTTCCTGACCATGATGCACAGACAGATGCAGCAGGAGGATCCCAAGACGGAGATCCTGGAGGCCCTGAGGATGACGGACAAGCAGAAGAAAGGATACATCCAGGCCGCCGAGCTGCGAGCCAAACTCACCAAGTTAGGAGAGAAACTCACCGACAAAGAAGGTAAATACTGTTTGGAATAAGTGAGCAGAACTGAGATCTGCAGGATGAATGAATGAAAGAGAACACCGAGGAGCTGCTGCATGTAATCTAAAGGAAGTGGAAGTTTCCCTCTTCCAACACACCTGATTCAAATGATCAGGATCGTTATCAGGCTTCTGCAGAGCTTGATGATGAGCTGATCATTTGAATCAGGTGTGTTGGAAGAGAGAAACATCGAAAACATGCAGGATTGCGGCCCTCGAGGACCAGAGTTCGACACTCCTGGCATAGATGGACTTAAAATTAAGTAAATAAAATATGTTTAAAATCAGTTAGCATCAATTTTTTGGAGTTATGACAATTTCTAATGAAATTACGATCAACCAACCAATTAATCATCTAGGCATGTTAATACGAGGCAGGGGACTTGAAATCCTGATGTCAAAGTGAAAAAACATAAAGTTATCATGGCAATTTCACTTAGCTACCTCGACTTAAATTAAGTTTGCAATCAACGCAGAATTTTGAGTTTAAATGACGCATAATATTAAGTTGATGCAAATACCAAACTTATCATCATAACCCATCAAAAATAATGTTTGCAACCTAAAATGTTTATCTAAATCATTTTCCTACGACTATGCAGAAAGCTAAATGGTGGGAATAGGTCACTTGACTTACTTTTTAGAGTGTGGACTTTCATTCACTCTGGAAAAACAGACATTTTTGTTTTTCAGATGGTCAGAAATATCAAGGAAATTCCTAGATTTCATTACCTGAAGTGACTTATATTGCGAATCGGTGCTATATAAGTAAAAGAATGGATTTCTGTCAAATATCTCCACACAGACTCGCTGCCTTTACTGCGCACAGAATAATCTCACCAGTGTGGGACTGCAATAAATATGAAATGATAAAACAGAGGTGAAAAGAGGATTTGGAGGATTTTTGACGTCGGCCTGTTCTTATAAGATAAGACTATAACTGATGTTTGTGCCTCGGAAATTACAATTTTCTCTACTTCAGGTGACAATTCACCAGGGGTTGGCTCTTATCCTCTCATGACACACATTTGCTGTATCTTCCCACGGTGCTGTGAGCTCTGCAAAGAAAACAATGCAGCGACTCGAGCCCGGCTTTAGACTGAAGCTCGGTGTCTCTGTTGGGAATTACAACCTGCTTCCCTAAATCCACTACAGTTTACCAATCTTCCCATAACCTGCCTGCGTGCAACAGCTCACAAACAATCACTCGCCTGTGAGGAAGATGCTGCTGCAGTGTGCTGGATTGTACACGGAGGAGGCAGATTTTCCTCAAGACAGACTGAATTTCTTCCAAGAAAAAGCTGCCAGAACTGAATGTAAATGTTTCGACACACTTTACTGGGATTTTATTGCAACGAAATTATTCCAAAACAGCATTTAATTTGTTTCGGAAATATGGTTATTTGTTGTCTTGGTGATTGGTAGATGAGAAAATTGATACCACTCCCTTATATATACATGCTAAGATTGAAATTCTGACTATTTATTATGACAGCTAATTTAGCGTAGCATAAAGAGAGGACACAGAGAGAAGCAGCTAGCATTGATCTGACAACAAAATCTGCCAACCAGCCCCTCTAAAGCTCACGACATATTGTTTTTTGTTCAATTTATGCAAAAAAAAAAAAAAAAGAATTCCTCTGGTGCATAAAAAGGCAATTTGCCATTTTTACACAGCCAGAAATAATGTGTTATTTAATGAGCTTTCAAAGTGCTTTGAAGTGGATTTTGTGACCTTTGGAAAGCGGCAGGATTGCTTTTCCAGTCTGTATACTCAGCTAGCTGCACACTTAGTGTAAAGATTTAAGAGTTTATAGATTTTTTGGGGTTATTTCTGGCAAACAAGCAAATAACTCAGTTTTCCAAAACCAAAGACAAACTCCTCCTTTAAAGGCCGCAGTCTTTTTGTGTTCTGTGCAGCCGAAGGACACGGTGGATTCTGTTTTATTTGACACGTGAACACTGTTGTCTCATTTCATTTCTGAAGTGAGGCTTTAAGTGTGAGCTGAGAGTTTGATGGAAGGACTCCTGCAGGCAGGCAGGCAGGCCGACATCTGTTTGAATCTCTTCATCTGACTTTGAGTCTTTCGAAGCTGCATCGCTGGCCTCACAGCGAAATAAAGATGTAGTTCAAAGTCCTGTCAGCGAAAGGTTTGTGCACGTAAAGCACTTCATAGCTAAATGAAGCTTCTCAGTGGGGAGACGTCCATCAAGAGGTTGGACTGTTGAAGCACTGAAGCAGATGCCACTTGAGTTAAAGGAGCAGACAACAATGCTTTGAAGCTCTGCAGCTCTTCACTGTAGATGCTGTGAGCAACTGAGGCGAGGATTGTCTCGCTGTTAATACTATAATGCACCAGTTTGACTAATCAGGACGTTGAAACTGTTCATTTAGATGCCAAAACTCAAGTACAGCTCCGATGAATGGTATTAAAATGAACAAATAAGATTGCGAATTATAGGATTTGTCATCTTTGTCAGTAAGTTGTTTTCCACTGCAAGAACTTTTTCCACTTGCAAGCACTGTCCCTGTACAACCTCTTTCAGGGCCATTTTCAGTATTTTATTACTGAATAGGTACATTTGATCAGCCTTGAAACTCTACCTTGGCGCTGAATGTACTCCCACAATACAAATGTTGGTTTGGTTAAATTTGGAGAAGAGAAGTAGTAACATTTTAATGTCTTTTTCGTGTCCTTTTCAAGTTCTAGTCTTCTCTCCAACTTTCCCATCCAGCACATACAATTTCCCATATAGGCTAAAATAACAAACTTGAGTTGCTCTAGCTATGTGTTCATAGAACTAGAGTTACTTCCTTTAACCTCTATTTGGTGCATTTGGAGTGGATGTCGTGTTGGAAGCTGTTGGGCTGCAGTGGAAAGTCAGAAAGGGTCGATTATTATTCTGTTCCTGTAAATGTTCATGTCATCTCAAGCCTGCTATGACTTCCTGCAGTGGAAAGCTATCGGATGTAAACGGAAGCTTAAACCGGCTGTTACGTTCCTGCTTACAGTACGTAACTCGTCTGTCAATAGGGAAGAACTCACAAGAGAGTGAATGGCAGTGAACAAGTTATTTATTTATAATTGTTGAATAAATTAAATGAACAACAAAATGAAGGTTTCAAGAAAAGTGTGGGGGGAGGGTCAGCTGTCAAAGAAATAAATAAAACAGGGCCTAACTCAAATCTTTCTGAATGAAAAGAAAATGAAAACAAAAAGCCTGGCTGTCTTATCTAAAAGTGATAGCAAAACAAAACTTACAGTGGCAACCACCCCTAACCTAGTGCATGCAACAAAGTGAACTACGTGTGTACATGTATAAGGTACCCAATCTTACCTCTGCTGACCACCTTCCTACCACAAACCTTCAAACACTGACAGCAACATGTGAAATGACAGCAAACAGGAGGCAGAGAGTGAACAAAGGAGCATGAGGGCTTATAAAGGAGAATCCTCCAACTGATTGGATAACCAGCCAAAGCACGGGCCAATCACCCACTCCTCAGGAGCTCACAGGTGGCAGCAGCAGGAAATCCACAGGTTTTGCCCATCTTCCAATAATCACCTGTAGGAGTGAGGTGAGAGGGAGACACACATGCGCACACACACACATCCTCCACTCTGCATGTAACACCGGCCCTTCATTACAATAAACATTAGAGCCTGACTGATATTGGCCCATAACAGGTACAATTTTGTTTTTGCTCCCATTTTTCATGAGCCGAACTCAAAGATCTGAGACTTTTTCTATGAACACAAAAGGCCTCATCACGCAGTGCAACATAGAGTTGATCAGGTTGTTGGATATTTGCAGGAACTGGAACACGCTGTCGTATACGCCGATCCACAGCATCCCAAACATGCTCAGTGGGTGACATGTCTGGTGAGTCTGCTGGCCAGGCAAGAACTGGGATGTTTTCAGCTTCCAGGAAATGTGTACAGATCCATACAACATGGGGCCGTGTACTATCATACTGCAACACGAGGTGATGGACACGTGGATGAATGCAAAATAAGCCTGAAGATCTCGTCACAGTATCTCTGTACATTCAAACTGCCATTGATAAAAATGCACCTGTGTTCGTTGTCCATAACATACGCCTGCCCAGAGTATAACCCCACTGCCACCATGGGCCACTCGATTCACAGTGTTGACATCAGCAAACCACTCACCCACACGACGCCATATATGCTGTCTGCCATTTGCCCCGTACAGTGAAAATCAGGATTCATCTGCACAGAGAGCACTTCTCCAAAGTGCCAGACGCCATCGAATGTGAGCATTTGTCCACTCAAGTCGACGACGGACTGCAGTCAGGTCGAGACCTCGATGAGGACGACGAGCATGCAGATGAGCTTCCCTGAGACGGTTTCATTTTTTGGTTATGAAAACCGATTGTTGCAGCAGCTGTGGCTGGTCTCAGATGATCTTGAAGTTGAAGATGCTGGATGTGGAGGTCCTGGGCTGGTGTGGTTATACCTGGTTTGCGGTTGTGAGGCTCTGAAACGCCTTTGGAGACGGCTTATGGTAGAGAAATGAACACTGAATTCACAGGCAACAGCTCCGGTGGACATTCCTGCAGTCAGCATGCCAGTTGCACGCTCCCTCAAAACTTGCGACATCTGTGGCAGTGTGTTGTGTCATAAAACTGCACAATTTAGAGTGGCCTTTTATTGTGGCCAGCCTGAGGCACACCTGTGCAATAATCCTGCTGTCCAATCAGCATCTTGATACGCCACACCTGTGAGGTGGATGGATTATCTCGGCAAAGGAGAAGAGCTCACTAACACAGGTTTAGACAAATTTGTGAACAATATTTGGGAGAAATGGGCCTTTTGTGCACATAGAAAAAGTCTCAGATCTGTGAGTTCAGCTCATGAAAATGGGAGCAAAAACAAAAGTGTTGCATTTATATTTTTGTTCAGTAATATGTGCACATATAAAGATTCTAAACTGATACATTGATTTTGGATTTACTTTTCTCCCTAAAAATCTAAGTTAGCTCCAAAATCAAGAATCAATCAGGCTCAAATGAATGTTTACGTGAACGCGATGGACGGACAATGTAGCATAAAATCGAGTTTTTGAGTAAATCTCAGGTTTGCTGTAAGATTTGTTTCTCTGGTATAGAATCTCATTTAATCCAATATTAAATAAATACATTATATATAAATATTCCTATTACATAAATAGAGCGATGACATAAATACATGAGGCAATAACTACATGAAATAATGTTACCGCGAATAAATATGTTTGATTTTTTTAAAAACAACATTATTCAAAGATATTGAACACAACAGTATTCTATCGTCTGCTGGTTTTGGAGGAAAATTGCTTATTTTGCCAAACAATTATTATTTCCATTCATAAGCTTTTAAACTGAGTGAAAATCCTCAATAAAAAGGGTAAATGATTTCTTTTCTGAGTTGATGACAACTCCTGGAACAACAAGCAGCCCCTCAGTCTGGCCCAGCACACAGATTTACACTTGAAATTAGCTGTCAGTCAAAAAGGCCCTCAAGCACAAATACTAAACTACAGACTCTCCAACCCTCAAACTGCTTCTGTCTGCATCTTTCCTCTGAATAACCGCCGTGGCAGACAAATGGATTTTCAGACGGCATTCTCTCTTGTCACGTCCACTTATACACATGTTTTCTCTGTCTTCTTTGTCTAGTGGACGAGCTCTTCAAAGAGGCAAACGTCAAGTCGAATGGGATTGTCAACTATGAGGAGTTCACCCAGATGGTGACGCTGCCACCGGTCGATTACTGAAGTGTCGAGGAGGCAACAAGCAAAAACAACCTCAACACAACAGCCACAGCGGGAACGTGACTTTGCAAACACTGTGGTTATCCTCTTGTTATTTAATTAATACACACCCTCATTCCTGTAGCTCGCTCTGTAGCCTTCCTATATGACTGAACATATTATGACATGGGAGCCAATTTTAAAACCATTAAATCCTCAGTACACTTTGTGTCAAGTCTGAGCCTCCTTCTAATAAATCTTGCGATTTAATTTCAAATTGGAATATTGTTTGTGCGTCTGCTTGCTTGTGAGCATTTAAAACTTTTTATTTCATGGTTTAATTTGCACATATCAGTGTTAAACTTTATAAGCTTGTAGGACAAAAGCTGTGGAGTTTGAACAAACAAACTGTCTTTTTCTGTCAGTTCTTTATTTTAAAAGCATGTATTTAAAAAGCCTGCTGCAGTGTTGTCATTTCTTTTTGACAGTTGCTGCACATGTATAATAATCAGACATTTGGTGTTTTTGGAAATAAGTGATTTCTAAGTTGAAATTTGTACCACTGCCATCATTTTCTGACAAGTTTTATTGTTTTTAGTGAATAAACATTCATATTCGATGACATCTCACTAACTGGCTGAAATTAAATGAACACCTTGTCCTCCAGAACACATAGTTGTTGTTTTAATAGTTCATTAAAATGAATTCTAAAGTGGCGTTTTGTTCAGAAATTGTATTTATCCAACTCACTGCTTTGAAGAATAAGTTTAATGGCATTTTGATGTAAGTGGTGGACCTTGTGCTTAGAAACCAAAATAATAAAATGTGCTAGGATGAATCTAAAATAATAATAATAATAATAAAAGAAGAAGAAAGAAGTACAGGACAATCACTTCCACAAGCTAAACTGACAAAACGAAAAATGATCATCTGATTGCAGTTAATAAGCCTTGCACTCAAATGTCATTTTGCAAATATGAAAAACTCTTTGTTGCACCACTTCCAGGATTGTACGATCAGATGAGCAGCCATGCGTGTTGTTCATTAAACATAAAGGGGAGCATGTAGAACTCAAGCACTCATGTTTTTTTCTCTCTCTTTTTTTCCCTCCAAAAACAAAAAAAGAAGACAAAAGAGCCGAATCTAAGGACAGAACAGATATCAGAAAAGCCGAGGTGGCAAATAACTTTAACAATGTCTCCATTGTACATAATGTGCTTTTCCTACCATGACATGTAGGGATCGATTGATTATTGATGAGGCTGTTTATTGGATCAAATATTCAGCTTTTTAAAAAAAAAAATTAAAAAATTGATCTAAGTTTTTCTAATGGATTCACGATAAATTCATTCAAAAATGCTTTCCTTTGGCTCTAACGCAGCCGCCGCTATCTGTATCCACGCATCCAGGTTGTTTTTATAGGAGTACTTTGAATATACACTATAACCGGTGCCCTCTTGCTGCGAGGCAACATTGCTAACCACCGAGCCACCTTGCATCTCCCTATTAAACTTTGTGATTGACTTTAGCAAACAGATCAACATTTTTCTGCATAATATTGAAAAGCTAATGAAGCTCAGCATTCAGAATGGGTTTAACTGCAGCTGATAAACTGTCTGGGGTGAGGAAAAGTACGTACCATGTTTTTTTTACCATTAGATCCTGACTGAACCCATCTCCATGTAATTCATGAAGTTATGACCGTGCTGTGTTGTTCATAGATGCACATACATTAGGACTCTGCTTTGAGACGCTCAGTGTGGATCCTGCTGCCGTCACTCAGAGGAAAAACTCCTACAAACAACAAACTAGACTTTAGCTCGTGTTAATGCTTTGAGGTCTGTGCGTGCTTCAGTTATGAAAGATACAAACTGTGTCTTTTGTTCACTCATTGATGTTGTGGACGAACAGTCATCTAATAACATCAGGTACCTACGTTACTTTAAGGCAGGGGTGTCCAATCCTGGTCCTCGAGGGCCACAGTCCAGCATGTTGTAGATGTTTCCCTCTTCCAACACACCTGATTCAAATGATCAGGATCGTTATCAGGCTTCTGCAGAGCTTGATGATGAGCCCTCGAGGACCAGGATTGGACACTCCTGCTTTAAGGATTACGTTGCGTTCCATTGCTCTGCCCCGAGTGGTTCTGTCCTGTTCTTCACTAGATTCATGGATATCTACCAGATGTATGTTTGCCAAACACAGTTGGTCCTCATCTATGAAACCTGGTGTTTGAAACACAAATATCTGCTGCATCGATGTGTTCAGAAGACTTTTCTGCTGGCACCTTCAGCTTTTAGCCTCATCTGTTTTGCATTGGTATGACTTAGCGTTAGCATGGTGTCGCACAGCTTGGCTTCCTCTGTGCATTAATCATTGGTTCATTCCCTTCACACACCTCAGGAAACAAATCCTAATGTTATTTTGTGCCTATTACCCAGCAGCATACTTCAAAGGTATCCCCATGGTCTTACGGAAATTGACTGTTTGTCTGGAATGATATAATACCTGCCCATGGCAAAACCGACATATCACTTCAACGCTGACACAGCTGAGCCGTGAAGATACTAGAATTAAACTTTGGTTTTGTCACAGAGATGCATTTTTATCTCTGGGCAGAGAGAAGGCATCTTTGGGAAATGAAAATATCCTCTAAGGTCCACAATCTGCTCCTGGACAACAGATAAAAAAAACGAATGGAACTTTTCCACTGAGGTAATCTAACAGTATGTGACCGAATCACTAAGTAGGATGCAGAGTGTCACAAATAGTCGAGTTTCAGAGCGACGTCACGCGTGAGACATTCGAGCAGACGGGGGGCAGCAAATAATCTAAAATGACTGTGATGAGATCAACACAGACAGTTGGTTTCGTGCCTGAAACTGCAGGAATTGCAAAGGTAACAAGCGGAAAATGTTCATTATCCCAAGAAGCTGCCTTTCTTCTCCATTTTCTTCTAAGTAAGTTGTTTTTATCCCAACCATGGCACCTACACCTCCTGCCTGTTTTAATTATTTTTCTTTTTGTACATTTGCATGATTTTTTGGGGGGCTTTGTATAATTTGTTCTTTAGTTTGTGTTTACATGCTTGTAAAAATATGAGAAAAAATGATGAGAAAGACTTTTAAATTGCACTTTTGCAGCAAGAAACAACCCTTTTTAAAGTAAGACTCAGTTCTTGCGTTGACAGTTGTTGGATGAATATTGCTTTTATGTTTATCAGACTCTGTGTTTAGGAGCAGATGTTGTTGATAATAATTTTCCAGAGAAGAAAAATAAGCAGGCTTGAACTGTCTCTTCATAATTGTGTGTAACTGATCAATAGAACTGATTAAATCATTGTTGACACAGCTGGCCAGGATGTTCACGCTGCAGTCAACTCTAATACATCAGTTTTTGCAACAATAAGGCACGTGTGGCCTACAGTGTGTCTGAAAAGTATTCACCGTCCTTGGAAGAACCTGGAGAGAACCCACGCTGCACAGGGAGAACATGCAAACTCCACACAGAAAGATCCCGAATGTCCTCACCAGGACGCCAACCAACAACCTTCTTGCTGCGAGGCAACAGTGCTACCAAATGCCCCACCTCGCAGAACCCTTTTCAAGTCCAACCACAAATTCTCAGTTGGATTGAGGACTGAGCTCTGACTCCAGAACATTCATCTTGTTGTTTTGAAACCATTTCTGTGCATCTTTGGCTGTATACTTCAGGTCATTCTCTGCTGAAAAACATTTTTTATTAATGAAGTCACAGACTGCATCAGCTTCTTCTTCCACACTTTGTTGCATTCATTTTACCCTCGACCTTTACAAGCCTTCCAGGACCTGCTGCTGAGAAGCATTTTCACATCATGATGCTGCCACCACCATGCTTTACGCTTAAGACTGTGTGATTGTGATTGGGTGTCCACCAAACATGGCGTCTCTTTTGATGGAGTTTGTCTACAGTGTCTTTCACCTCTCCACTCACGTATAAAGCTTTGGCAGGTGAAGGACAGGCAACAGTGACTGTATGTACAGAGCTTGTAACTGCTTCAGAGGAGTCATCGGTGTCTTGGTGGCCTCCCTCACTAGTCTCTTCCTTCTATTTCTTTAAGATTGATTTCAATGCATGTTCAGTGACGTGGAAATTTGCTTGGATCCATCTTCTGACCTATGCTTGTCTTGACAGTACAGTTGTAGCCAGGAGAACTGTATGCAGTCAAAAAAGGTAATTGATGCAAATATGTCCTAGATATAAAGGTGAGGCACTTCAACAGCGATGGTATGCAGCTACTGAATACAGCCGCAAAAATCAAAAAGTTAAAGAAGTTGGAAGAGTTAGATCAACTTATTTCTCAAATTAGATCTGCCAGTATCAGTTCACCTCAGCCGGTAAAAACATTTCGGCCTGACATCAAGGATTCACTCTTGTAAAAATGAAGTCTGATTTTAATTGGCAAATCTGCCACAGTTATCCCTGAACTCCATATGGGCTGCGTGACAATTAAAAACTTGACAGACATAGCAACGGTAACCAAGGAGGGAGAGGGTTACCATACAATCCAATGAAACCCAAGGACAGCTATAGACAAATGTAAATATCAGAAATCAAATTGAACATTATGAACATGAATGTAAAAGCCTCTTTTTAAAAAATCACTTTATAGCAATGTTTTTAAAAAAAACTTCCAACAAACAGCCCTTTATATGTTTACCTGATATTTATACACAAAAAAATTGAATTTTTAATACACATGAAAAGTCAATTACAACTCTGCATTACTGAATTATAAGTTATGATTTCTGCCTGTGTGGGATGTAGCTACACTCTTACGTTGTCCCTGTATTGTTTGCCTGAAGAAAACATGTACGCACGCATGGGTATTTTATTTTTTTTCCCTTTTCTCCTTAAGGAAGTGTTTCTTGTTCAGTATCGTACAAAGCTGTATTGAAGACATTCCATTTCTAAAATTGGATGCTCAGGAGAATGAGAAAACACAGACAGATGTGATGGCGCTGCAGCCGCATTGAGAAGCTTCTTTTCAATTCTGATAAAAAAGACTCTGAATGGCGCCTGAATACCTTTCAGTGCCTGCAATGGTTCTGAATGCAGGAACGAGCAGAAAGAGTGAAATATCTGAACACACATAAAAGAATGTGATGTTATTCTGCAAAGATCAGATTCAAACACTTTCACCATCATTTCAAAAAAAAAAACAAAAAAAAACATGTATTCTGAAATGTTGACTTTGACTCATACTTCAATTAAGTTGTTTAATAAAAAGCCTGATATCAAATGACACTCAAGTAGAAACGGCACTGGGCCTGCCCAATACCTGACCCAAACTGTTTGGAGCCTGTTCGGCCTTTAGCACCAATTATCTACTGCAGCTTTTTTCTTTTCACATTTTAATTTGTGACTTTTACAAACGCGTGCGGTGAAGCCAAAGTGTAGCAATACACAACTATTACTGATACAAAGACTTTTTACAAGCTGCAGTAGACGTTTAACAGTCCAGCTGACCGTTTGCTAAAACCTTCCCCCGTAACAGCGATTGTCAGATTATAGCTTTACAGCCGACAGCTAAGCAAACTGTCGGTACAATACATGTTAAGACCTGGTGGGTGGTCTCCAGAAAACAAGAAATCCACGAGCACAGGGCTAAAGAGTTAAAAACGAGCTGCCCACCCTGGTGTGTTTAGCTAACTGTAGCTATTTAGAGCGCTGTTTCCAAAAAAGCTGGATCATCATTAGCTAAATACAACACTGGTTGAGGTTACATGTGAGCACATTCACTGTTGAGGTCAGTCCTGCATGACACCACATCAGTGTTAAGGCTGATGTTTTACAGTCAAACGAACACCGCTGGATCCAGTCTAACCAACATATTATAGGAGGATTATCTGCTAAACTCATTGGTTAGTCAACATCCCCACAGCCTTATCTCTTATAAGACTAAAAATAAAGACTTATTGCTGGAACATTATGACATTTAAGCAAGAATCAGGCCTTGTCCAGACATAAATTTTTTTAAACTGATTTTTTTTTTGGCCTTTCATCCACACTAACGACAGATCTTTTGGAAAGATTTACAGAAACTCTGCAGTTTTGATGTGACATGTAGATACCAAGTGCTTTTGGAAACGATGACAAAGAGACCTGTGGTTGCTTCCTGATGGGGTCTCATCAGTCGTGACGTGTTTTCTGATTCGTCATGTGACTCTATAACTAATCGTCTGCTTCACGTTTGCACCAGCATGTGTGTGCTCAGTGTAAAATAACAGTCATCGGATGTGTGTTTTAAAAGAAAATGTGTTTGTGTGAATGTAACCGGACTTGTGTGTTACTTCAGCATCCAAACTCTGTTCAAAACAAGTCTAGTGAGGCAGCTGGATTCTCATTAGACTCTTGAGATATTATTATCGTTACCATGCTTCATGCTCTGTGCTTGTAGTTGAGCCACAGCGGTTCAGACCAATTAGCATCCCATGACGAAGCATTCACAGCTACAGGCCTGTTTTAGGAGTGATGACAGTTGACGTTATCTGTGTAGGATGCTGGTAGATGGTTCATCCAATCACCTGCCAAGTAGTTTTATTTTTAAATGCCTGCGCTTTTCCAAACTATTTCTTATAATGAGTTCTCAGATGGTTCTGTGTAACAAACCATCTGGTGTGTCGATTTATTTGTCCACAACATACACGTAATAAAGTTAATTAGTTCTTCTCTGCAGTTCAACAGTGTGCTGTTTCTTTATTTGTCTTCTGCATGAAACATCAGCTGATAAAAACACCTACTTTCTGTCTTGGACTTGCAGCTTCAGTCAGTACGATGTCACTGACGTCGCCATCAAGGGCATTTTAAGACGTACATTTTTTTTGGGTTTCTTTAAGACAAGTTAGCTTAACATATTAAAAAAGTCAGCCTGAGGTTGCGTTTTTATACATCTCGTGGAGCTGATGGTTGTAGTTTCAGATGCTAAAATTGAAGGCAACAGATTAAAAATCAGAACCTGCTTCTGTCTGAAATCAATCACCTATCGATTCAAAAAATACAAAGAACTTCAACAACAGATCTACCACTGTTATTGTCAGCTGCATAAGTGCAACGCAAGACGTCCAAAGCAACAGTAAATAAAGGATAATTGCAGCTTATTTCAACCTGTTGTATTTCACTTCAATGACCGGCACTGTGCGCTTCTTTTGTCAAGCTTTGGGCGATTAAGGAGTCACAGGAATCAGCGTTCGTCAGGACAAAAAGCAGAAGCTCCCTGCAGCTTTTGAAAAGATACGATTTACATAAATCCTTTTAAAAGTTGTTTTTCAAGTTTGACCATTTGTTAGAAATAGAAATTTGCCATCTGGGATGGTAATTTTGCCAACTGCACTGCAGATCTGCTTCCGGAGATCATCACCAACTGGTTTGTTTGTGTCTGAGGCATTGTGTTGATGCT